GGTTTAAGGTTAAAAAAACACATTATTTTCCACATACTGTACATTATTGTTTCTCCTCTATGCCCCGCCTTTCTGAAACGCGTCGATTTTTACAAAGCTCATCGGTCTAAAAAAACGTTAGAACGAGCCGTTTTAGGTAGGCGTGGTTAACTCTTAACTTTTATAAAGAATATCTCTTTGGATTTGAGACTTTAGTCTTTGCAACTTTACAGATCTTCTTTATGCACCAAGAGCTTGTAACACTCCAAAGAGAATGGAAAAATTGAAATCGCATCATATGACCCCTTTAAACTTACATTAAAAAATAAATAAATAAAAAATACATTAAATTTATTATTAACTGATATAATTTTACAACCTCAAATCAGAAGGACGTTTTGTAAAATACAATGAAATCAAGAATCTGTGATTTGTTCATTCTCTTTATCTTTTATTTAATTGACAAAAGTACAAAGAAAAGATTTCCAATGTTTTCATTGACCAACTTAAATGCAATCTGTATATGTAAACAAATTTTGATTTTGATGGCTGCAATACACTCCAGAAAAGTTGGGGCAGAGGCTAAATAAAAGTGAAAAGGTTATAGAATGTCCAAATGAAACTGTTTTGAAACAGTCCACAATAAGCAGGTGAATTGGTAATAGGTGAGGGTCTCATGTTTGGGTATAAAAGGAGCACCTCACTCTTTACAAGCAAAGCTAAATCTTGGCTCATTACTTTGTGACAAATTTTATGAGAGAAGTGTCAAACAAATCAAATATCACATTTCTCAATGTAAAACCGCAAAGAATATAGGTCTGCTTGCAGTCCAGAAAATGTATGACCAGTCATGAAAAGGAGAATCAGACAACGACGACCACAGACAGTTGAGCAGCTGAAGTCTTGTATCAAGCGAGATTGGGCAAACATTTTGCTAAACTTTAACAATTACTATCCTCAATTCCCAAACGATTAAACATTGTAATTAAAAGGAAAGTTGATGAGAGACAGTGTTAAACATGACTTTGTCCCAACTATTTTGGAGTGTGTTGCAGCCATCAAAATTAAAATTTGTTTATATTTACAAACTAAAAAAATTTTGGTCAGTGAAAACATTGGAAATCTTTTCTTTGCACTTTTGTCAATTAAATAAAGGTTAAAAAGAATTAAATAATCACAGAATCTTGACTATTGAATTTTACAAAACGTCCCAACTTTTTCGGATTTGGGGTTGTAATATACCAACCTACTGAAGCATTAAAATGTATTTTGCATTTTCTTTATAATACAGTGACAACCACCAAAAACATAGGTAGCATTAAGAAAGCCACGTGTAAAACCAAAGTTCATCACACACAGTTTTTTTTCCTTCCAAGCGGAGGTAAATACTATTATATAGAAGGGTGTGTGATGTCATACAGCATCATGGTAACACACAACACTAAAACAATGCAATAAACAATTTAACAAAATATATAACCTAAAACGCTAATGTACATAACTGATAAGAAAAAACTAAAAAGAAACATACTTCAACGAAAAACTATCAGATGTGATGTGTCACACAGGGAATTCTGTGAAATTTCCCTTTTGTTTTATTAATTTTTTCACCATATATAGTTAGGGAATTTACTATTAACCAGATATCACTCTTTTACCATAGCATTTTTATAGTCTTTTATCATTTAAATTATGTAAATTTTTTTCTTTGTGTAAAAGTGGGGTCACATTGGCAAAATTTTCAGCAAAATTTGCATTGTCATTGACTTTCTGTTAGTCAGTGTGGTGAATTCACACAAACAGCTTAAACAGGAGCAAAATCTGCATTGGAAACTTTTCTGGATTTCGTCAATCAGTGGTAAATGTGACTGCAACTTCTTCAGTCTTCATATCATTATACAAGAGGAAACGATCCACAAAAAACATTAACATTAGCTTGTTGTGCATTTACTAGGGCTGTTAGTCAATCAATTGAAATTATCTCATCAGGAGCTCAAAGTACTTCTGCAATAAAATAATTTTCCTCAGCACTTAACAAATGTGATCATACATCCGTACAGACCAAAAGGGTACTGGCTGGTGTTTGCATTTCTATGATTGATGGAGTTTAATGTTTTGGTGATATATCAGTTGTTGAGCTTTTATGACAATTAAATTACAAAGAGTAAAAATTACTTTTACTGACAATTTTAAATCACACAACAAACTAAAACACACGAATGCCACTTAACGCATTTAAATCACACAATTAACACATTAACTTTGACAGCCCTAGTATTTACCAAACGTAAAGTTCCTATTTGAACTTACCCCATTATACAAGAGAGAACGAATTGAACTATAAAAAGCACATCTGACCAGCCTTCATAATCAAAAGCCTAGGGGGGGGGAGAAAAAAAAATACATGTATTGATGCATGGAAGGACACACTAAAAGGAAATAATTGCCTAGAGATCCTTCAATAACACAAACAGAGTAATAACATTAGTTAGCCATTCAATTTTAGCGTTATGGAGCTGTTTGTAAGTGAATTTGCAGGTCAAGGTGTTGCATGGTAAAATGTCACACATAACACAGAGAGGAGTTTCCACTTTTTTTTTTTCATAGGCTATCATAGTTGAACTGTAGAGAATGTATTCACGTGGCAAGTAAAAAACAACAGATCCACTCAACCAGTCTAAAAAGAGGTGAAGAACTCACCTGAAAGGAATATACCTAACAAATAACTCCATAAGCTACTACATTCACTCTGCTAGTTACGCTGACTGGTATAATGGCGGCTTTGTGCAAGAAACACACAGCCTCCTGTCCTCTCTCCTTCCTGAAGCAGCGCCTGCCAAATAAACTGGGGCCTCCCTGTGAACACACTGAGCTAAATAAAATGAGGCATTCATGGAGCAGGGCCCTGTCATCCTAACCTCCCAAACAACTGAGCCTTGTGCTCACCGCTTGCTCAAAAAGACCAGGATGTAGCACGCTTACAGAAAATGCAGTTATTTGCATTCAGGCAGGAATAGACGTGCTGAAATTTATGTAATTCAGCTTGCTATGATTTCAAGAGAATTTATGACAAGTGTGCAGTCGTTCCAATTGGCTAATTGCGTGTGTTCTCTGGCAATGCGAGCTCACTGCAGCTGAGCAGATGGTGTGTTCGTGGTTGCCAGATCATCTGTGGGTATGAGGTCTTGTTGAGAGATGGACTCTTAGAAATGACTAGAGTCCTGGGGGTTATTTAAGGCCTGGTATGTGAACACAATATATTATATATAAGTGAGCATTATCAAACTATCTGCTGTATGTGTACTTCTATTTTATTTTAACACATTTTTATTAATGAGCCAATATCCATTGCTAGAGAAAACTATATATAAAATTCAAAAATGTTTCAAAATAAGTACAATAAAATAATAATAATAAATAAACTTACCTTATCCATATCCCCTGTGACATGTGCTAATAGCAGTGTTGGAAAAATCATAAACAAAGCATTGTAATAGAGCAGGCCATACTTTCCCAGCTCCTATAGGACAAAAAAAAAAAAAAAAAAAAAAAAATTGAGGTACAGTAATGCCAAGTCATAATTGCCTCTTCTCTCGCACCCTCTACACTAGCTGCTCTTTTTCTCACAGAGAAACAGATGGTGTCCAAAGTGAGCCAAAGGTCTTTCTTCAGGAAGGGAGCATACGTTTTAACAGGTTGCAAAATTTTGACTTCCGTATTCAAGTTGTCAGTGCTTTAGAGAAATCTGTATTTCCACATAATCCAAGTTCTTCAATGAAAACTGTAACAGTTATAAAACTACTCTCTCTGGAGGCCTCAAATAGAACACACATGACTTCTTTTTTCAGCCCAAGCCAGTGGGGTAATGCAATAAACACTGCTCATGGGTGCCAGCACTCTCAGTTTCATCAAACACAAGTACAGGCATATCTTCTAAATATATTGAAACTGAACCTGTGCTTGAAATGTTAGAACATGCATATGTGAACAAGTTTTGCTCAGACTGGGTACAGTAAAAATGAAAATGTGAAAGCCCCAAAACCAAAGGTTTCTGTTGTGTTCTGATAGAACTGCGAGTAGGATAGCAAAATAAATAGACTTATAACTCAAAAAAGCACAGACAAAATGCTACCTAAATCCATTGTCAAATGGTGAACGACAAATTAAACGATGCAAAGGGAAATAACATTTATGTGTGAATTATTCATGACATTTTCATTAAACAAACAACATAACTAGCAATTCACAAAACCTGGTGATCCATGAGGAGTTGCTTCATTTTGTGCACGCATAGGAAAGCAGTATATCTCAATTAATGACTACAGAGATCAGCTGCTGCTTAAGGGAGCACTCACTGTATTGGAGTAATCTCTATCATGGATGTGTTGCTTTCCTTACCTTAGACTCAAGTTTCTGTTTCACAAAAGCTCCATTGGCAGCAGTTAAGACATCGTTCATTAAAATGAATATGTACCCTTGCAGGTCAAAAGCCAAGTCAGCACTGCACAAGAAATATAAGGGCACTCATCAAACACTGTAAAAAACATATGTGATTAAATGTTTGGACATGGCTGGAATCTTTTCCTCATTCGCAATAAGATAGTGATGTATAATTAACTTCTATGTTGCAACACAGTCTTACAAACAATAACTTTCCTCTCTAAAGCAGTGAATAATTGGCATGTTCTTCAAAGAAAAAGCATCCAAGATAAGGCTGAATTCTATCAAACAATGAGTCACTGGCAACTTTTACCTTGCAGCTACAAAGGCCCCTAGAATCATAGTAAATACTGTCAGCTGAACTGGCCGGGAGAATTTCTTCCTGTAATGAGGGACATAATCAGTGATATATATATATAAGCTATCAGAAACATTACCATAGTAACTGAAGAACGTTCACTTACTTTAACAAGAACACCTCCGCCAGCATTGTAAAGAGAATAGAAAACCTCCTCAACACTGTAAACATTGGCAGGCTGAAGGAAGGAAAAACAAATTAATTAGATACCAATGCATAAAATACAAAACAATAAGGTCGACGTGTGTAAAGCTGTTATGTACTGTATCATACTTAAGTCTTTTTGTCCCAAAGAGTCCTGTTATTTGATTTCCTACATACAGAAGTGGTAGCGGAAATGTCTGCAATTATAAGATAGATAGATATTGAGAAGGCATACAAGAAAGTTGTGAGCAACACTTACAAAGCAGCATTTTTTTTGCAGCCCCACAAGGGTATCTTTTCCCATGTCAACAAAAAAAGACTTGCACCACTGTTCTAGAATAAACGTGTTCTTGGGGAAAGCACACGTGACAACACGCACAAGTTTAAAGAGCCAGCATTCCTCACCTTTCTAGGTATACTACCATCAAACTCAGGGAAGGTGATCAACCGGAGGGCCTTTCCCACCCGTAACACAACAACTGTTGCCAGCATCTGCAGAGGAAAGTCACAATATGTACAAGCCGCTCTGCTCTGTAACGTAATGTGTAAAGCCCAAAATATGGAGAGTGAGAAAAACTTTTATCTGACGAAAGAAAACCCACCTGACCAATGCCAACACATATCGAAGAGGGGAACCTGTTTGGAAAAGATTTCTTTTTAGCAAAGACTGAAAGCACAAAGTTTTGTTTACATGTTTCTTTTCATTATCATTACCGTTGATTGCTATTATAAAATGAACCATCATATGCAATGTATTGTGAGATATTTTATATTATTATTCTACATCCCTGACTCACTTTAGTCCATACAAAACACATTTTATTTTTTACAATTACACTATTTACACAGTTTCAGGCTTCTTGCACTTAAAAGAAAAACAAAAAACAAAAGCAAAATCTGGATAATCATCATTTTAAATACTTAAACCAGGTAGTAGCTCACTACGCGTACAAAAATGGGATGTGGTGGTGGTACAAAAGTAAAGAGATGGTGCAAGACGGTAATAACATTATATACCGTTACATATAAACCGTTACTGAATGAGTACCAGTTCCATGCACCATTGTGTTAACATGGTACTCCAAAGTACTTAAAGAATACTATAGTATCACAATGGTACATGTGCACTTTTTTTGTTTAAAAAGTCTCACACTAGATGTTCAAATGAGCTCACTGAGATCAACGGCCTTCCGTACCACAACTGATAACGTTACTGCTGCAATAATTAAGTTGCCAACTATCCCAAGTATTCTGCATCAAGCGCTCACAAAATACAGAGTATGTAACTCCAGTAAAAAGTCTTCTTACCTGTAATTTGTCAGGACGCTCTTGTTCACTACAACTATAAGGAAAGAGCTGATTCCATAAAAGCCCGCAGCTGAAAGTTTGAAGAGTACCGTCAACGTTTGGTCCGCCATCCCAGCCGCTTCATTCCTTAGCTTACATTGCTTCTTTCTGAACGCAGCGCCTTTCTTCCTCCCCACGTTGACGCCTCTGAACTTCCGCCATGTTTACAGAGCTACGTTATGTGACGACAACATTTCTAATTTACATACGTAAGCGCGGTGCTCTCTGTCGCCACCCTGCGGCAGCCGACTGCAAGAGATTTACTCACAGAGCGACGTAACTTTCATACAGGATTTTTTTTTTTACCTCAAATTCTTAGACTTTTTTTAATTCAACAGTTTAACATTGTCCATTAGCATATCAAAACAGATTTTATTTTTGCATAAAGTAGCACAAAATGTTTTCAGATAACTGTTACATATATTCAACTAAAATCACACTAATATCAAACTAACATTAACTTTTAGGTACATTGTATTTTAAATAACATATCAAACCCAGTGAAACATGGACCAATGAAATGCACAAGAATCTTCCTGATTGTTTTTATTATTATTATTGTTTTATTTTATTTTATCATTTTATTATTATATTTTTTTTTCTGTTGTGAAGAACATGCAGCGCTCCCCTGTGGTGTCCCAGCATGCATAGGTGCTTTTTTTCAGGGTCCTGGAGGGCAAGCGTGCTCTCTGGATAGAAGAGATGGGTGCATGTCTCAGAAAACTCAAGAGTTTGAGTTTTAATTGTGCATTCACCAGCGGTCCAGCGCGCTCGAAAAGTGTGGTGAGCTTTGAGCGAGGCGAGCCATTCCTGTCGCGAGGCTGATGGCAAAATGTGCGATCTATTTCAATTTTATTGAGAAATTGCCACTTTAAAAAGCTATGGAAAAAGTCGAACATTGTCTAAAAAAGGCACATAAACTAAAAAACTAAAAAAGCTTAAAGATAACATAATCTTGCACCAGCACTAACATATATTAAAATCTTTTTAAACTACTCATGACCACCTTTAATATAATTTATCACGTTTTATTGTAGGCTTATTTGTTGTGGTAGAATTTGTAATAGATAAGGGAATATATTTTTTATATTACAACGGACTGTGGTATGTTGTTTCTAAATGTGCAGGACAGGCTGTTGTTTTTCATAACAAATGCTACAAAAAAGTCATTATTGGCCTTGTAATGAATAGGCTAGCCTTATTATAACAAATGCTACAGTTAAGAACTATGGTATACATTTTCATAAGAGCAAGTCAGAATCGACAGCCATGTGTAAAATAGGTTCTAATGATGAGTGATGGAAAAACCTGGCCTTCACATATTCCAAGAGTTAGCATAGATTAAATCCTTAAGAGCCTGATGAACTGTTAAGGAGTATGAAATAAACAATATCTATATAAGAAAATGTTAAGTTAGATTGACTTCCCATAGCATGCTGAATTAGAACATGTACAAATATAGCCTATAAGTGCCTAAATAATATAAAATACATTAGGCCTATATCCTATGTAAACAAATGTAATTGTTAACTAGGCTATTACTTTATTGCAGTTATGTTATCAACCAACTTTGCATGTGTGGATAGCACAAAAGACCATTTTACAGAAATAAACATAAGCAAACAAACAAATAAATAAACCTTTTGAGGGAGTCTTGACATATTAGTGCAGCCAATCAAATTTGATGACCAGAACTAACTATTGATCGATATAGCAACATAGCACCTTGGAGGACCACGCCCCCTTTCAGACTCAAAGACCAAAATTATGCATTGCTATATACTTATTATTTTGGGGTTATTATGTTTATAATGCTATTATCAGTGTTGGGGGAAGTTACTTTTAAAAGTAATGCATTACAATACTGCGTTACTCCCTAAAAAGTAACTAATTACGTTACTTAGTTACTTTTTATGGAAAGTAATGCGTTATATTACTTTTGCGTTAATTTCACGTTACTTTTTAAATATGAACAGGGCTTGATTGTTTTTAATATAAGAAGTTCTATTTATAGCAAATGTAAAAGCCCTTTCACACCAAAAAGTGTAATGAATAAACCTCAGGCTGAAGCAAAAGTAAATTCACGTCTGTACAGTAGAACGCAGGAGAAGAAACACTCTTCAGCAATAAAAAAACAATGAAGCACAATTGTTAGTTTATCTAAAGTCATTTTTGCTTATTAGTATGGTTGAACTGGATCATCAAAGGTCAGCAGCAAAAATATTGGTTAATAAAATGGGATTAGATACATTTGTGTTATTTAACATATTTAATTATTGCAGGTTTGCGTCATATTCTGAGTTTGCATTTCACTGTTTTAATTCATTTTGATGAATACTAAATCTGTTTTTTGATGAAAAATGAATGAAAAATGTGGGATGAATTAATGCACATTCACATTTAGTCTAGATAGAACTACAGTAACATCATGTTCACACAGCGCACACAACTCCTCTGCACTTCCGATTTCTCCCAATATGGAGACAGGAGACTTGTCAGTCAATAAATGGGAAAACACTTTTTGAAAAAGTAACTCAGATATTTTCTGTAAATTCAAAAAGTAATGCGTTACTTTACTAGTTACTTGAAAAACTGTTTTTTGATGAAAAATGAATGAAAAATGTGGGATGAATTAATGCACATTCACATTTAGTCTAGATAGAACTACAGTAACATCATGTTCACACAGCGCACACAACTCCTCTGCACTTCCGATTTCTCCCAATATGGAGACAGGAGACTTGTCAGTCAATAAATGGGAAAACACTTTTTGAAAAAGTAACTCAGATATTTTCTGTAAATTCAAAAAGTAATGCGTTACTTTACTAGTTACTTGAAAAAAAGTAATCTGATTACGTAACTCGCGTTACTTGTAATGCGTTACCCCCAACACTGGCTATTATTAAATTCATTTGATTTTGTTTTGTGTAGTTTGCAAATTAAATAAAAACAAGAATAACAACACACACACATAAAAATTTTATTTCATCAATTTTCAATATTTTCAATATAACTGTGACAACCTAAAATGATTATTAGCCCACATTTTATATCACCAATTAATACATGTAATACATGTACCATTTTCTAGGTAGATTAACAGTTCAAAGAAGCAGGTGCTGACTGTTTTTCTAAAAAATGAATTGAGGTCAAAAGACCACATTCTGTGCACGCTGGATGTTTTTATGTTACAAAATGAGGACAGATATATGATTAAGTTGCTTTTTTAACTCTTTCTCTTTGATGCTATTTAATGTGATATCTGATCTGATATCTGATAAATCATCCATTTAATAAATAGGTATATGAATCTTTCTCATCACTTCAAATGATCCTAAAGTAGTCTAACAGAGGTTCTTTAAAGATAGATGACCCCTGAGATAAAGTCATAGGTCAGCAACTGTCTAATCAAATGCTTTGAAGTGACAAAGGATATGAGTAACTATTGGGAGAGTTTTTTGTGATTAACACAAAACAAGTGTGCATATTTTAATATGTCTATTCATGTTCACAAAAGAAAAAGTTATTAAGGTAAATTTATTAAGTTTAACATACAGTACAAAATAATGAGATATTTTAATGTCTTTCTTTCTTTCCTCCTTTCTTCATTTATTTAAAACTTGTGGTCTGTCTTTGTGGTTTAGACGTGTCAGTTTCACACAAACTGTAATTGTGGGACTGACACTAACCTCATTGTTTTCTTTTGTTTTGTTCATTTTTCAGTTTCCACACCTTTACGGTAAATAACTTGATCCCACTGTTTATGAAGAGCTTATCATTTTTATTTATTATTATTATTATTATAAATGCCTCTTCTTATTAATCTACTGTTAGTGCATTCTTTGTATTACTCCTCAGATTCACCTTATCTATGTCAGTTGGTTTTCCCCAGAAACACTTTGAAGATTGAGATGGAAAGTAAGTTTTAAAGAGATCAAAAATCTGGGGCAGGCAGGAAGGCTGTTCTGTGGTGTTGTTTTCACACGCTGAGCACATGTGAGTCTGATTCAGTCTGATTTCGTTGTTCCAGCGCCTCACATTTTTAGCTGTCTTTAGTATGTTTAAGTATATGTTTACTATATATCAACAGAGCTAGTTTGTGTGTAAAATGTATGTTTAATGAGAGGCATTACATCAGGCTTCATGAGGAAGTTTTACTGAATTAATGAGTATTGTTCTCTTCCTCCACTGGTTTTCACATCCTCCTAACATCAAATGTGCCTTATGTCAAGTTGTCAGCCCTGTGGATCAAGCTAGTGAACATCTATGATGGAAACAGCAGAGGAGTCCAAACTGAGGAGAAATCACTGTTCTAAGTGCAATAGAAAAGGTTTGTTTGGTTTTCACCTTTTCTGCAATGACATGTGCCCTTCTTCTACTGCCATTTGATGTATCATATCTTACTGAAGTACGTATTTTTCAGTTTTGGATTTGAATTAACACGATTCTTTAACCCTTGTGCGACCTTTTGGACATTTTTGTCCTTTTCAGTTTTGTTTTTTTGATAATTTTGCCTGTGTTATTGCCAACTGCATAAATTTTGGCACAGGTGTGTATTTTTATTGGAATTTTACTATTTCACTTCCATTTCCTTTAATAAATCTGTTTTGCACTAGGTACAAAAAATTGTACCTCTCAGGACCTTAAGGACAAAAATGTCCCCATTGAAACCCATTAAAACTGCTATTTTTAATCGCAGT